TATAAAATGATGAAATGTGAATAAATATTAAAGAAGTCTTGGTAAAATTGTGTTATTTAATTATACAATAGTTACCTTGAATACTATGTAATAAATTGTACGAAAGTGCGCCCTTCTCAATATATATATTTTCTTCCTTATTTTTATAAGGAAACACACAAGTCCCTTTTTCAGATCTCTAGATTTGCAGCTAGCTAGAAAATATCAATTATTATTTTTCTTTCAAGGGAGATGTATTTTGACTAACGTTCTTATCAGAAGCGTTAAGAGAACAAAAGTCGAAATGACTTTTGTTATCTTTACGCTTCTGATAGGAAATGCGATTGTGAAATGCAAAACATACGTGTATAAAGCTTTTATCGTCCTTAACAGTTGTTTCTACGTTTGAAAAGATAGGGTAACAAATCACAAGAAATATTTGCATTTATGAAATTCTGCATATACTGAGCAACAAAATGTTAAATATCATGTCTAAATGTTATTCTATTCAATTATTTAGCCATTTATTTGTTAAAATCAATTACTTATTACTTATGTCTTGAAATCGGCAAATACCAGGCGGTTATAGTTTCTCAGCAAATTACGTTTAACCTATGTTTCTAACAGATAAATAATGTTTTCGTTTTTTTCATTTTTACATATGTTTTATGTTTGAATTAAGAAAATTCTTCGTTACAACTTTTTTTGCATGTATTGTCGTTTTCACGCCGATTTTAAGACATGTTTTGGTCATATGAAGACAGTCTTTTATAGAGCAAATTGTGAGATAATAATTAAAAAAGTAGCATTCACAAAATATGACATTAGTTTTATAATGAACACTTAACCACAATGTAAATCAATTGACCTAAAAATAAAATCATTCTATATGTTGCTCCTTCAGTAAGAGAAATAACGTTTCATTTTTAGTCTGTCAAGGTTTTTGAAGTTTGAATACATTGTTCTTGTCCAATAGTTTCTTGTAAGACTGGAACACCAGAGTTTTAGGACTTGACATAGTCAAAATCAAAGTGTTGTTATAAAAGTGCACATCTCTTGAAATACACAAACAACAATTTGAAATAAAAAAAAACTATAAAATGGCTTGTAGTTTAAAAAAATTTCTAATGGCGTTCCACCACAGATTCAGAACACATTGACCCACATATTCATAACACATTGACAAACTATTTGACTGTATGTTTATCTTACGAACGTCTGAATTGAAATGTTTTCCATACAATTCAAGAAACCGAATGTGCAGCTTAATCTAATGATTTGCAAAATATATTATTTTATTGATACTTTAATAAATGATCAATATATATTATTTACAAAAAGGATAACTATCTTGTGCTATTCCCAATATAACTTTGTTCTTTATATATAAACATTTGTCATATCAAACATTTACGTCAAGGGTCGTTTTCGGAATTACTTTAAATGGCGGAATATTTGCGTAACTTTGAACAGAGGAAATTACTCATGACCAATTAACCAAAATCAATCAGTAAAACGCGTAGTTAAACAATAAAAGAGTGAAATGGAATATCTTTCACACCCAGGCAGTATTTAACTTTCATAATGATGATTAAAAGTGTTGCAATCAAAGGACACGACCAATACACGCAATACTGGTGCTGCTGCAAAATTATTTAATGCAATTACAGTGTTTGTTAATGCTTTGTTATTTTGAATAACTATCTAATGCTCTCTTTATTCTGCTCTCTGAATGGAAGATTTTAAGATTTTAGTGTCCAAGCTTGATTTATATATACCTTCTCATTGAGAAATTTTGTTTGAAATTAATTTGCTTCCGATCATGTCATATAAGCGTTTATCTAACATTGCTCTTAATGTTAGCATGTTAGAAGAATTGCCTCGAAAGTTTCACAAAGCTAACCTATATTCTTTCCAGGATATTGTCCTTTGGGATGGCTTAATCGGATATCTATTCCTTTTGTGTTATTCGTTTCTATTTGAACGTTTGTGTGTTCTGCTTAAAATATTCAGCAAAATCGATTTGTTATCAAACTGTTATAAACTAATACTGTCACATTTTTATAAATCTGTTGTAAGTTTCAAAGTGCTTGTTTGACTTTTAAAAAGCAATATCATGATAAGGAAACTACTTTTACGATTTTTTGACATATTTAAAACAAAATCTGTTAAATTATATTGGATCCCAAGTCATGTAGGTATACGAGGAAATGAAAAAGTAGATGCTTTAGCTAAACAATCATTAATTTTTCAAAAAAACTGACTTATTGTTACCTGCTTGTAATTTTAGACCAGCTATAAATAAATTCGTATCATTTGAATGGAAAGCAAATTGGGTAATGCCGTTTTTAATACACTTCACGATATAAACCCATCTCTTGATTTGTCACCATCTATATCTCTGTCAAACCGCCATGATCAAACAGTTACTTTTCGATGCCGAATTGGACACACTAAAATTACCCATTCTTATCTCCTCACGAATGACAATGCCCCTTGAAAATTTTACTGTTAAGCATTTTCTTCTTGAATGTCATGATTTTTCTCAGGCCTGTTATAGATTTTATTGTGTAAATTCACTCAAAAAACTCTTTAATATAAGTCCATCAAAAAACATCATTGATTATTTGAAAGAGATAAACTTGTATTCTAGGATCTAATTGGCTCATTTTTATTGTCATTTACAAAGTTTTACATAACATTTAAAGCATATTTTAGCATTCGGCACGATATTGCCAGTTATGTGTTGACGTGCCAACAAAAAAAGCAATAATTATTTTATTATCTATAACGTAACATTTATAAGAAATTAAACACCCCTGATACTGAATACATTCTTATATCAAATAGTTACATGCATAAAATACATAAAAATACATTCTTTTTATACACAATGTTGTTGTTTTTGTTGTTCTATTTCAATCAAAACTTCTATTCTGTCCAAAGACTGAAAGGAATGATATCTTTAATAAAAATGTCGGAAAATGACCAAAGTGGAAATCCTTTAATCTGAAAAAATTGTCGTACCACTCAAAAAGATACGGAAAAAGGGCAAAAATCCTAATTGTTCTATGATACCAATTGATATAATTTATAATAATATATTATAATCAAGACGAAAACAAATAATCATTTGACAGTTGTTGTTGACTTAAAAGACAAAAAGTTGAACTATTATTAAAAACAAAACACTTTTAAAACAATATGACATCAACAAAAGAAGGAACCAATAATCAAATGAGAAAAAAATGAGAAAAAAATGAAACTCTGAAAGGTCCTTACAACCAGTTTCTTCTTTTTAGCAATAACGATTCTTCACTATCAAACCCAATTATCTAACAGCTATGAATACTGCATGTAAACACAATAATATTTTATCATTTCAAAAACAAAAAGCTCTAGCAATGATTATTGAATGGCGAATATCTCATTTAGACCTTCCTTACAAAAGGTTTCGCTCCTTTTGAAATATCCTGATTTATTTATGAAATTGCGTTGATTGAATAACTGTGGTTATTGACATATTCGATAATCTGCCTATCACATCAGTTTATAACAAGCGTTATTATATCTGAAAATTGTTTCATGATGGCTTCATAAACCATATGCATTTGTCTAGACTAATTAAATCACCAATTATTATAAGACGACAAAGAGCCAATGTCATGCGATGATTCACTTCCCTCTAAATAATGATGAAATCACTATAAATCAATGGTTAAATAAAGCTTTGTAGAATTTTATCAAAAGAAAAAAGACAGTTTTGCGGATAAGGTCGATAAAGTTTTTTGACGTAAATAACCTTTTCTTAATCAAGATGCATTCATTTTATTTATATGAAATATCGCCATTATTAAATTGATATTTTTCTGAAAATTAATTGCTAAAATTAAATTGAAAATCAATGTAATTTTTAAAAAAAAGATAATAGTTTTTAGTATAAATAAATAAATATTAGAAACGTTTTCAAATTAACCTTTCTATTGGAGGAATTTTCATAATTATATCTTCATTGTTTTTGTTTGGAATATTTTTGTATGAATATAAATATCTTTTATGCAGAGATTATCTTTATATCACATTTAAGAAAAGTATTGTCATTAACGATAAAGGAACTCCACCGAGTTATGTTTGACATGACGGGACAGGAAGTAATTTTTTATTTCGAGATTAATGTCCCATTTGATGTAGGTCTAGATGTATACAACTTGTCTGCAAAATTTCAATTCATTCGTTAATTACGTTTTTTTTTCTGTTTTTTTTTTCCGAATAATTATTCTGTGATTTAGAATCCAAAATTGTGATTTTTCACTCAAAACGGGCTAACAATGGCCCAAATACGATTTTACTTTTTCAGGAATATAATTATCCTTTGCATATCATTCCATAAATGTTTATGTACATTTAAAACGTCTTTTTAATTTGATATTATTTAATTGGGTTACATTGTTTATTAAGGTTTACGGACCCTGAAACCCACATTTAGAAATGGTTACATACTTGATGATTTCTTGTTAAGCATCCATTAAGACACCCAAATATGAAATTTTATTAAAATTTACCGTTCAAAACATGAGATATGTACATTTGATGTCGGCTACCCCACTTTTCCGAGAAGAACCCCAAAGAGCAAATACCTAGATGCTATAAATCTTGTGTAATTTTTCCAAATTGAGGAATATATTTGTGAAATGTACCTTGTTGTGTTCATATGACCTTAGTTTATATCATGCATTACTTACTGATAACAATTGTTCACAAAGAAAAAGAAATAAAATGTATTATGTGAAAATTTGACCCTGCGGACTCTGGCTTTTTTCCATGTCATGTCCAAATACACAATGTTTTGGCCAAATTTTTAATGCTTTCAATATTGTTTCACAATATAAAACTCAAATACAAAGTTTCTATCAGATATAAAGGGGGAAATATTAAAAAAGGAAAAACTTTTACCGTCTAGTTAGTTCAAACCACTACATTTTATGAGTTTGGTATCAAATGTCAAGGGAGACAATTTGAGGTCAAATTTCATTATTTATTCTTTCTTTGTTTCAAACTATTAAAAAATGCTTCAGCTTCTGCTTAGAAACAATACAAGACTTGCAATGCAATAAAAACACTTATATCAATAGAAAAGGTACCTTCTGTCAACAATAAAATCATTTGTTTTCTTCAAAATCTTGTATACATACATGTGGTCGGGAGCTAGAAAATCAAATAGTGACCAAGAACTATTTATCCACACCAAGCACTAAAATGTTCACAAAGATAATACTTACAAAGAAAAATATCCTACTATTGATCATATGTTATGTTTTTTAATGTGTGCTGCAGATACCAAAAAATAAAAATGTATTAACAATGTAACATTTTGGTTTTGATTCTGTGACTAAAGTTAAAAATGTAAGTAATTCTAAATTTCAATGAAAACATGTCAATATGGCCTTGAGTGAAAATACTTGAAATAAACTGCTTTCCTGCAATAGAAAATTGCTGAAACATATCTTCAGTACAATATAACATATGGCATTTGGAAATCCAACAGTATATATGAGCCGTGTCATGACAAAACCAACACAATGCGTTTGCGACAAGCATGGATCCAGACCAGCCTGCGCATCCGCGCAGTCTGATCAGGACCCATGCTGTGCGCTTACTAACTCTAATACAAGAAGAGAAACTGATAGCGAACATCATGGATCTTGATCAGACTGCGTGAATGCGCAGGCTGGTCTGGATCCTTGCTGGTCGCAAACGCAATGTGTTGGTTTTGTCATGACACGGCTCAATTATCAGTAAAACAAATTTTAACTGTTTTTTTGTAAGAAATCAGCCAGTTTAGGAATGACAGTCTCAAGTGTCCTTTTTGTGTTTGTTACATGTGGTTGGCCTTCACTGTTTTTCATCGTGAATGTACTGTGTAGTCCATCTTCACCATCACGTATAAAGATTTTCCTTAGATGCTCCAGGTTTAACCCTGAAGACGCGATATTTTCAGCTGTAGGAAGTTTACAAACACTACTTGCAATAAGACATGACAATGACGGTAAATTCTTTGCCTTTTCCTTCGATGACAGACATTGGTGATACACTGCATTTAGAGAAAAAGTGAACTTTATCATATCATTTACTAAGGCACAACAATGTTGGAACAATTTCACTAAGGCGCGCACATCTTCAAGAGCGTCATGGGCATTATACTGTATTCCGAGAATGTCCTGTACAAGATCTCCCTGCTTGTAACTACTTCTGTCACAATAGGTCTTACGAAACAATGGTAATGTATCCAAACAACCTACAACAGTTGCTAAAATTTCTTCCAACTTATTCACATTAGAAACTGCAGCAACAAGAACTGAAAAATCAAACCTCCGCCCGTTGTGTGCCACCAACACTACTCTGTTATACTTTTTAGCCACTTTATGAAATTTTCAACAGCACATTGAATGTTTACAGTTTCTACTATAGTTCCGGAAACATACATTACATTATTATCTGCCATTCTAATACCAGTGGTCTGCTGTGCTCCTTCTGATATAGGTAGCTTCGGTGTAACATAAGTTGAAAACTCACTACCACTATTTACTTCTCTGGCAGCAATCTGGGTCAAATGAGGCATTTTCCCACTTCGTACTGAAATAAACAAAAAAGCAATTTATATAAAACACATCAGATATGAGCCGCATCATGAGAAAATGGATATAAAAGCGAGCCCGACCAGTATGGATCCCATCATTCTAAAGTTACTTTCATATGTAAAACATTCATGATGTTATTGAAAAGCAACACATTATTTTTTATAATAATGGAACATAAATCTATACTAGACCGCCAATATAAGAAGTAGTTATACAAAACACTTACTAAGATCTGTAGTCTCCAAGTCTAATACAACAAATGTTGGCATCGAGTTTTGAAGTTTCAGGGGCTTAAAATCACCACGTGGTACAGCGTCCGGTATTGTTTCCACATCAACATCATTCTGAAGACCAATTTCTGAAGTACATTGTAATAGAATAATGTGTGTCCAATCATAAATTATAAGACAATGTAAACATTTGAACTGTTAGAGTACCAAAGGTCTCTTAACCATATTCAGCACAGTTGAGTGAGCAAACATTACATCCTTTTTATAAAAACAATACTTTCTGTCCATCTATTGATCAGTACTATGACCAGACCAGTGGTAGAACTTACAACTTTCTTAGAATTTGAAACTCTACTATAAGTACCCAGTGCACTAAGCTGTTGACGTACCACTTTTTTTTTTACTTTTTAACATTACAAGATAAAAGGCTAACCTGACTGATATGTGGCACCTTCTAGCACTTCGGTTGCTCCTTTACATATACACCTCTCTTGTTTCAATGTGAGTCTGCAATGCTTGGACGAAAGAAGACTGGAGCGTTCCATTCGGCGCTTGCGTTCATTCATACACTTCTTAGAGTACTTTTCTGTGTGGAACCTCGGAGAAAGACCTCCTTCTTCATTAGCCTAACATAGAAAAAATTGTTTAAGCTTTGATAGTTACATACATTTACCAATCAAGACAATTTGACAAATCTGGTCTACATTTAGTTGCCATAGTGAACTAAGTTGTTGTAGTAAAATGGGTCACCATTGCTCTTCAATGTAATCATTCATAACTTCAAGACTTTAACCGAGCTATAAGTGTATTGTCTCCGTCACCTTCAATATACTCTACAGGTGTTCCTTCTTTGGACAATTCCAATATACCTTGTTCCCCGCTCGCACTCTCCATCGATCTTGCATTTCCTGTATGGTTTTGGACACAGCGGTGTAGACGTACTGGTTGACCTGGTTTGTTTCTTTTCCACCATTTACATGTTCCACAGGTTCGGTGTTTTACAATAGCCTTCAATACCTTTTTACCATACTTCGCCTTACTCATAAAAAAGGTATGAGCTGTAAAACCAAAATAATACAGAAAATTGTTTGAAAGATCATTTCAATTGACACTATTTTACAAAGCAGCTGGACTGCATGTTTTAAACTACATTTACATGTAAACATACATAAAGTGTAAACATACATAAAGGCTAAAGCATGTTCAACTAATTACGAAGTGATCATTATGTAAAGCTTAACTTTAATCAAACTGAGTCTGCAATTTTCATGTAATTTTGTTGAGATTAATGCTTCCGAGGGATCACACTTTTTCCAGATTTTTTATAAGGCTGTTTACTAGGGATGGCAATAACTGAATAAATTGCTAACTTCATAACCCTTCAATCGTCCGACTGGTTAACAGATCACAAACTAAAACACTGCTATTATTTTTGTGTAAAATTTACTCTGAAACATTAATTTACAAATTCATTTTTTTCTACTTACATGTAAGACTATCAAAGCCTCGTTTTTGCCAGGCTGTATCAACTGCACAAGACATGCCAGAGCGGGTTTTACAAGGGAACCTTTTCAACAAACTCTTCTTACATGAAGTTTTACCCAGCTTATGTCCATGGATAACAAATCTATGTTTTCTGTATTAAAAGAAAAAAAGAAAAGGCAATGTTTCAATATCTTAATTGATTTGTCAAAACATTTACAGTGTATGAAAAGAACAATGTTCACATGTATATTTAACATGCTGGTTTATATAATAATAAAGTGGCCCTAATGGTCATAGCTTTTTTTTGACAGAATGAACACTGGTATAAAAAGAAACAGAACAGAAGTGTGACAAATAGCCCTTGCATTTACAGTGCAAATTTAGTTTAAGGGATTTTCAACTACGAAGTTTTTTAGATATTTTTTTTCAAGCTTTGTGTACATTGCACTGAAATTCAACTGATGTTCTAGCAATGAATCTATGTTCATATGAGTCCTACCTTCTCTTAACAACTTTCTCCTGCGAAGATTGTGGACTCATTGTATCATCTGCCCAACTTATGTCTTTAGTGTCGCTTGGTATTATCAATTCCCTGAAAAGACAAAAAGAAAAGAAAGTAAACAACAGTCTAAACCAGACAAAAGACATATGAGCCGTGTCATGACAAAACCAACATAATGGGTTTGCGACCAGCATGGATCCAGACCAGCCTGCGCATCCGCGCAGTCTGATCAGGATCCATGCTGTTCGCTATCAGTTTCTTTACTTGTTATAGGGTCTGTAAGCGAACAACATGGATCCTGATCAGACTGCGGGGATGCGCAGGCTGGTCTGGATCCATGCTGGTCGCAAACCCATTATGTTGGTTTTGTCGTGACACGGCTCAATTATGTGTCATAAGTCATGTTTATATTTATAAATTTATACAGTCATGTGCAAAGAAGATTTTGAGTGCTCCAGTAGTGTATAGTAAACTATATACAAAGAAAAACAGTACATGTACATGTACCACTCAACATTTATTTCAGCCAGTAACATGTATATTTTTTAACTTACTCTTTCATAGGAGAAGCCTCTGGAAGAACAGAAACCCCAAGGTCCTTTATAAGAATGTTTGTTGACTTCTCTGCTTCCAAACACTCACACACAGCTATGTCCCTTTAGAAAGAAAGAATTATAAGATACAAGAAAACAAGATATAAATGTTTTTATAGAAGTATAACTTTAACCAGGTATTCTTGAAAATTTCTGATGTGAAGTCCAAATGGGATTTTCAAATGTGAAACAGTTCCATACATGTATGTGCATGCACTTCAGTTTTGTCGCCCATTTTCAAATATTCAACGAAATATCACATTGAACTGATTTATATCATATATGTTTTATGTCCAATCACAAGAATAATTTTGGTTCGTGCCAGATGTAACTAATATTTGTTCATTTTACTCTTCAAATAACTAATTATTTTAAGAAATGCATTTGAAATATACTTACTCCATTTCTCTCTGAAATGCTTCTTTGCCTGCAGCTTCCATTGACTCAGACGCCACTTTTTCAATGCTTGACCCTGCCCTCCTCTCCATTTTCTTCAGTTTACTATTACTGATAGTGGGTATATTCAAAGCTGCCAGCATGTTGTTGACTTTATTCGGGCCTCCCAATGTGTCGATCATGGCTGAAAATACACAGAAACATCTAGTTTCTATTAAGAAAATATTTTCATTTCAACCCAATTTAGTTTCTAGGCCAATGAATTTCATTCTTAGCAATTATATATGTATATGCTTTTGGATGAATTAAAAGGCATAAAATACATGAACACTTACATAAAGCATTACATTTTGTAGCAGTATGCCTATGAAATTTCACTGCGGGCTTCTGCGCAACATTTCACTAATACATGTAATTATGCATAAACAAATAAATTATAAATGCATAAACAAGGGGCAAACATTCAATAAAAATTTGATGTTTTACAAAAAAATCAATGGAAACAAACTAGACATATGACTATCAATTGCATATAATGCTCTTGACGAGTGTGCTGCAGTATAAATAGATAAATTGGCATAGAGAAAATTTCCCAAAACTGTGATATAAAATAACCTTTTTTACTGGGTACGAAATTGCTTGGGTACGAAACATATGTTTACAAAAGATTGTGTGAAATCGTACACACTTTCTTAACAGACCACTGAATGAATCAATGATGGAGATCAAGTGTTAATACAATAATTTATCAACATAAGGAATTAAATTTCAAGAGGTTACCTGTTCCAAGCTTCGTATTCACGGCAAAAGTTGTGGCACCCTGTTTACTCCCTTTCACTAATTTTCCATACGCTATACAGTTCACGTGACCACAATCTGAGTTCAAACATTTCACTTTTAGATATCCTCCTAATCCCTTCTTTAATTCCCCAATGACGTTCTCTATAGTTAAAGGAATTGGGCCAAGTCGACACGATTTGCAAAACCGCAGTCCCTCCAACAACACGGCAAATTCAACAACTCGCCTGCCTTCCTTCCAACTCCCATCCACAGACTTGCTACTCTTAACTTCAACATAATCAGTTGCTACATAGCTGTGTTCTTCTTTCAGCTCATATGCTTTCTGCTTAGCAGGTTCTTTTTTTAAGGATGCAAATCTGCCTCTACGATTGCGCGTTTGTTCGGCCATCTTTGTATCAGCTCAGAATCCGATCACGTGGTCATTTATCATGGTCACATGGTCGGAAACGTGACATTCCGGAATCTACCGAAATAACACGGAAAATACCGATTTTTCTGGGTCCGTAATCCTTAAATAAAATAAAAGGCAAGTGATTGATTGTTATCAAAATAATTTACAAATTATGAATAAATTTTAGTGATATAATTTTAAGTGATATTTTTTTATAAATTATGAGACCATTTTACGTGTGCAACCTTTTACCTATCCGTTTCTTAATTAAATGCAGTAGAAGGTGTTGTTCTATATTCTGGAATTAAAAGTCGTTATTCCATTACTGTAAGTGTTGAAAATTTGTAATATTTCTATTGGTGCTAGAGGACATTAAAGACCTTGCAACATTTTGTTCCCTCGTAAAAAGAGTCAATTAAAATTTCATCAAATGTATTTCTTTAGAATTTTCTTATTCAGTTCTGACAGTAATTTGCAGAAATATTTGTAGCGAAGGTTGAACCCCAGGGGCGTCCGTTGCCGAATGGTTAAGGTCATTGACTTCAATCAAATTGCCCTTATCTGTTGTTTCGAATCCGACATATACTTTTGATTATTTCATGTGAAGAAGCTATCCGACTAGCTACCGTCTGTGGTTCTACCCAGGGCCCCGTTCTTGCCTGAAAGAATGCACGTAAAGGCAACAGAGGTTTACCTTCAACAGTAAGGCTCAGAAGTCGACAGTGTTGGTGCGACCTAAAATCCTGCCAAAATATAGATAAAGCACAAAACGTTTATAAAAGTTCTGTTACTGTATTAACAACATTCTGTAACAATAGTCTAAATTGTCTTTTTAATCTGAGGCGGCGCAAATACATTTATGCAGCGTACCCACTTTGTCACTTATTTTGAACATCGCATGATGTAAGAAATATATGTATCTCTCAAAATGACACCTTTCGCTCTAAAGTAACATCCAATTTGTCAGTAGCTTATCTGATTTGACAAACAATGAAGACACTAATCAAAGATTAATACGGAGATATGATCTGCTGCCGTTGCAGACTAATCATATTGTAGCGCTCCCTAAAAGATTTGGAGAGACGTTTGAATATAATCAAAATGAATTTTATTAACACGCACACACATTGCATTAATGCACTGAGTAATCGTTGACTGTAACATTTATTTCATCTACTAACATCAAAATCGAATCGTGGCTTTCTCGTTCATTTTTTATTATCATAGATATAACAAAACGGAAAACTTTTCAATTCCAGCAAAAAATTCTTCAGTTATAAAAATATATCCATTATATTTATTATCATAGTTAACTTTTTAATACAATTTACGAACGAATAAACGAACGAATCAATAAAATTATTTTATTTTTCTTCTTAACGGAATAATACCTCAGCATGTAGAGTAAATATTAACAGACACATGTTTTTACAAATGTGACATGCCTATCGTCAAAATAACATTTGCAGAAACACATCAAATATTTGTTATACTAATTGAAGGATTATGATAAGCAGTCTTAAAGTATAAATTCAAAACAAGAACTTATATTCTCCCTTAAAGCTGCATGCCTCCGGATGACCCAAAATATTTCAAGAAAATTAAACTTGGAAAAAAAAACATACTAAAACTTTGAGAAAAGTAAACAAATTAAAGATTTAAGTGATAATTTATATCTTATGTGCAATTAATAACTGTATTTATCACCATATTTCTACTGCGTTACTAACGCAGTAGGGGCTATTTATGCATATTTTGACCTCTTTTTGGTAATTTACGTGGATTTTAAGTGCCGATTGTAATGTGTCAAGTACTTTCTTTGTTCATTTCACAATATTTTACCTTTACATACATTTTCAAAATTTTCATGAAAATTAGGATGAAACTGGAGGCGTGCTGCTTTAATGGTGACTGATAATACAAGATTGGAAACTATTGAATCGTTTAGAGGCTGATAAAAGCCTTTTATTATCCCTCGCCGAAAGGCGGCGAGGGATATAGAAATAGTCTGCGTCCGTCCGTCCTTCCGTCCGTCCGTCCTTCCGTCCGACATTTTTGTCCGGAGCATATCTCCAAAAGTATTTGAGGTATCAACTTGAAACTTCATAGGTGGATAGATCATATTGAGGAGGAGTGCAGCAGTGCACAAGAATGATAACTCTACCTTGCATAATTTTTGAGTTATTGCCCTTTGTTATTTTTCAAACTTAATTTTTGTCTAGAGCATAACTCAAAAAGCCTTTGAGATATCAACATGAAACTTCATAGGTGGATAGATCTCACTCAGGAGGTGTGCAGTGCACAAGAATGATAACTCTATCCTTCATAATGTTTGAGTTATTTCCCTTTGTTATTTTTCATGCTTAATTTTTCACCTGAGTAGAGCATAACTCAAAAAGTCTTTGAGATGTCAACATGAAACTTCATAAGTGGATAGATCTTATTGAGGAGGAATGCTGTGCGCAAGAATGATAACTCTTTCCTTTATAATTTTTGAGTTTTTGCCCTTTGTTATTTTTCATACTTTTTGTCCGGAGCTTATCTCAAAAAGTATTTGAGGTATCAACTTGAAACTTCATAGGTGGATAAATCATATTGAGGAGAAGTGCAGTGCACAAGAATGATAACTCTACCCTGCATAATTTTTGAGTAATTGCCCTTTGTTATATTTCAAATTTAATTTTTGTCCAGAGCATAACTAAAAAAGCCTTAGAGATATCAATATGAAACTTCATAGGTGGATAGATCTCACTCAGGAGGTGTGCAGTGCACAAGAATGATAACTCTACCCTTCGTTATTTTTTAGTTATTGCCCTTTGTTATTCTTCATGCTTAATTTTTGTCCAGAGCATTACTAAAAAGCCTTTGAGATATCAACATGAAACTTCATAGGTGGATAGATCTGATTGAAGAGGAGTGCAGCACACAAGAATGATAACTCTACCCTGCATAATTTTTCAGTTATTGCCCTTTGTTATTTTTCATGCTTAATTTTTGTCTAGAGCATTACTAAAAAGCCTTTGAGATATCAACATGAAACTTCATAGGTGGATAGATCTGATTGAAGAGGATCGCAGCACACAAGAATGATAACTCTACCCTGCATAATTTTTCAGTTATTGCCCTTTGTTGTTTGTCATGCTTAATTTTTGTCCAGAGCATAACTATAAAAGCCTTTGAGATATCAACTGGAAACTTCATAGGTGGATAGATCTCATTGAGGAGGAGTGCAGCACACAAGAATGATAACATACCCTGCATTTTTCAGTTATTGCCCTTTGTTATTTTCAGCCATCAGTATTCACATAGGTTTCAAATCTGTAATCACTTCAGCCATCAGTTTTTATTACCAAAAGACCTCTTAAAATTGAATTATTCTCCTCTACTACATATACATCCTTCCAATAAGCAAACACATTCGGCGAGAGATGGCCATGTTGACATGGCTCTTGTTTAAATATTGACAATTCTATCCAGCGAAGAGAAAAACGTTCTTATTTCATGATGTTGTAATACTAACAAGCATTATCATGCTGTAGTAACTTAAAATAATTTACTTTATATCTGAGTGATTCTTCATTATATTCTATTCAAAGTCATCAGATTTTTTTTATCAGAAATGTCTCCTAATGAGGTCATAAAACCCTACATTTATGAAGTGCTTCATATTTGGCTATTGCTTTCAATTTTATATAGTTATATCTCGTTTTGAAAGAGGGTACACTTACTCACTGACATTTTTCAATGGCATATTGAAAACATAGATGAAAAGTATAACTTACTCAGTATTACAAACCGCAAACATTTTTTTTATAATTGCCCTATGTTAATGTTAGCACTTTGAACTTTGTCCGGGACATAACTGTAAGTTTACGAGAGGTATCAACAATAAATTTTGTAGTTAGATAGATCCTGGGTAGAAGTGCAATGCATACAAGTGCACATTATAGATCCATCCATTTTAACTTTAAAGTATCTTATTATAGAATGGTATCTTGATCATCATTACATGTGTAGGTACCTGAATTAAGATTATTTTTCATTTTTTCCTTCTGTCTGTGGGCAGCTAAAATTTCTAGGGTTATCTAATATTTCTGTCAGAATATACAATACTTAGAAATATGTTGCAACTTAAGTGCAATTTGGCAATTATTGAAACAAACACTATTAGTACATGTTAATTTGTGTTCTTTATTTGTGTTTTTATTTATTTCATTTTATGTATTTGTTACATTATTTATTGTTTTGAAAGGGGTTATGTATTTCACGTGTTTATATTGTCACCTTTATTCTTTTCATAAGTTACTATTGATATTACTAAATCATCTTAATTAATGTCTGTAATGAATCCAATCTCGCGTCATTAGGGTATTGCATACATGCATACAATTTCCATTCCACTGCACAATTACTCTCCAATCATTCACGTTTGAATCAAAATGTCATTCATGGAAAACTCGTGTCAATGTCACATTGTTCTTTTTCAGTTTAAACTGATACGAATCATGCAATTATTAAACAACACAATATTAGGTGTCTAGACTTTATAAAATCAGGCTATTTAATCATTATTTTAAAAACATTTCCAAGTGAATTACCAATTACGGAACAAAAGATAAATATTGATGGCGAGTTATCTTGACTTCACTACGAGTAAAATGTGAGCAATTATTATATGAATGTAGATAAATGCAACAGAAAAAAACAACAATTATTAATGCATCTTATATTGAAAGTTATATTCATTAAGTTGGAAACAAAGAAAAGTTAAATTCCTGGCTTATGCGTGTACATCAAAATAAGGACAATCTTCAATGATGATTTAAAAGTGTGCATCAGTATTTGATTTACAACACAACACTCAGAGTAACTATTACTGATGAAACATTTATACCGTATCGAAGAATTGAAATAATTTCAGCAACTTGAATGTCTTACAAAAGAGCCCAATCATTCCTGGTGTTTACTCTTGTTGCAGAATGACATTCAACTATGAAAACATTTGCTTTAAGAAAGAGTGTTAAATGATAATTTGAAGTACCAACATATGTTGGCATTTTTTATTGCAGTAACTTTCAACTTATTTCATGCTTCAACAAATGCAGTCAAATATCTTGATTTGTT